TTAATTTGTTTCCTTTGAAAGAGTAATAGAGAGGAAGTGGATGAGAGAGATCTTCCAACCTCTAGTTTACTCCAAAGATAGCTACAATAGCCAGAACTGGATTGACCAACGTGGGAGTTGGGAGCTTCCTGGGTCTCCTGGATGGGTTTAGGGGCCTAAGGTCTTAGGCCACCGTCCTCCACTGCTTTCGTAGGTTAAAAGCAGGGAACTGGCTCAGAAGTGCAGCATCTGGGATTTGAACCAGCATCCAAATGGATGCTGGCACTACAGGTGGACAGTTAGCCTGCAGTTACCCCACACCTGTGGATTGGAGGTTAAAAGCTGAATGTTGGCAGACTTAGTTCTTATACAGACTTGTTGAACTAGCTGAAACTTTCTTGGTAACAGAGGACCATGTCCTTTTTTGTGTTTTAACTTGGAGTATTTTTATTTTTAATAGCTTTATGGTAGTTGCATATCTGTAACGCGTGTAGTAGAGCTTTTCAGTACTGTGTGTAATGACCGTATGAGGGGGATGGCGTATCAGTCAGCTGAGAGATGCTTACCGTTTCATTGTTTTGAGAACATTCAGGTCCTGTTTATGACCCTTTTTAAAAAGTATTGATTCATTATCAGCCACAGTCATCCCTTCCACCCTCATGCACCCCTAGACACAGTAATGTCCCCCTGAGTCCTGCCCAACAGCATGTTTTGCAAAGAATTTAACCAAGCTTATTAAAACATAGCCAGATTTCGATTTGGGCAGAAAGTATCTAAGCTGATTTAAAACACGCGCGGACCAGCTAATCTCCCTCTTTTTTTTTCTGGTCTTCCTGACTCACGGTGCAGATCCAGGCGGTCTGTTGTAAGCCGATACTGTGCCTGTTGGTGCAGGAAGATAACATATCGTTATCAGTGTTGCTGCCTGTGTTTCTCAGATCTCGTACAAGGCCAGGATCTAGGTCACGGATTCCTTACAGAACAGCAGCCACAGTCACTATGGCCACCCTTGTGTTGGTGGAAAGGCACAAACTGAGAAGTTGAGTGGTGAAAATGTCGTAACTTTTCCGGCATGGACTGTTCTGGAAGTGAGAACTTAGTGCCGTGGAGTGTTCAGGTTGGAGCTGACCCACCCTGAGGTTTCTCTGCCATTTCATACTGGTCGTTCACCCCAGCCTAGAGCTTTCCCTGACCCTAATCCCACCCCTGGTCGTGGGGGCCTCACTCCCATCTCACATGAAATGAACACTTTCCTGGGATCAGTGCAGGGAGCAAAGCAAGACTCCTGAAGCCAGGAGGTTCTTGCCGCAGCAATGGGGAGAGAGAAGACCTGAGGAGGAAGTACTGTCTTTTAAGCAGAAGGACTGTGGTCAGTCAACGAGAGGGTGGGTCAGAGCCCATCAGCAGGCCAGAATTGTAATCCTGTCTGGCTTGCTCATGATAAAACAACAAGCCATCAGAAGGGTGTGATGGGTAACTTCATTGTAAAAATTCAGAAGGCTGCGAAGGCACTTGGCTATGTCTTCTGGGCAGCAGCCAGCATTGTGTACACTCTTACAGACTCCCGCAAGATTTATTTATTGGAGAAAAAAAAAAAAGAGAGAGACAAAGATCTTCCATCCGCTGGTTCATTCCCCAGGTGGTTATCATGGCTAGAGCTGAGCCGACCTGAAGTCAAGAGCCAGCAACTTCTTCTGGGTCTCCCACGCGGATGCAGGGTCCCAAGGCTTTGAGCCATTCTCTGCTGCTTTCCCAGGTCACAGGCAGGGAACTGGATGGGAAGTGGTGCAGCCAGGACACGAACTGCTGTCTATGTGGGATCCTGGTGCATGCAAGGCAAGGACTCTAGCCAGTAGACTACTGTGCTGGGCCCTTCCCTGCAGCCACTTGTGCCCTCTCTGTACTTTCCATTGTGGCCTCCCGATAGCTGGCCTCGTGGGTTCTCTTGTCCATACGCACCCTGAAGTGTGTCGCTGCTCAGGCTCCTTGCTGTCTCACTGCCTTGTCCCCATCATGGTGACTCCTCCATCCCTCACAGTAACACCCCACCAGGCGCCCTTCCTCTGGGTGCTGTGTCGACAGCGCTCCACATGGTTCCCATCAGTCCCAGCTCCAGCATGCACACCAAGCCCTCTGCGACCTGGTCACCACAGTCTCTGGGCTCAATGTGCTCCCATCTCCACAGTTTCAGCCCGACTGTGCCTTGCCGCAGGTGCCCTCAGTCTCTGTGTTCCCAGGACCCTTGCCTGTGTCTTCTCTGCCCTGCTGAGCCAGCCCCTCGCTTCACTCAGCTGTCATGTCAGCGCTGTGGTGGACCCTGAGAGCCTTCTCCCATGTGGCAGTCTCTCCTTGCTCTGCTTCCCGTTCCCATGTCACAGAGTGCGCTGCCGGTCGGTTTGTCAAGTGCCAGGTGAAAGCAAACATAAGCTCCGTGAAGGGTGGATCTGTCGTGTTCACAGCTGATAGCCACAGTGCCTTAAATAGCTAAATCCCAGCTGTGGATTCGATGATGCTCAGTCAGTTTTCGCCAAATGTATGAATATGGCATTATCTACTGGGATGCAACAAGTTTTTTTTTTTTTTAATTATTATTTTCTAAAAAGACTTATCTTAGGGAATAAGATATGGTGGTGTGGCACCAGCATGGCGTGTGGGTACCAGTTCGAGTCCCAGCTGCTTTACTTCCTGTCCAGCTCCCTGCTAATGCACCTGGGACAGCAAGAGTAGATAGTCTAGTGGCCCCTTGCCCCACTGTGGGAGACCCACAAGAAGCTTCTGGCTTCTGATCAGCCCAGCTCCAGCCTTTGTAACCATTTAGGGACTGAACCAGCAGATGGAAGAGCTTTGTCTCTGCCTTTCTTTCCCTCTGCGTCACCCTGCCTTTCAAATAAATAAAATTTTGAAAGAAGGAGTTCTCTTCCTGTTTGTTTATATAGTGACTGAGGAAGAAAGAGAGTGCTTTCCTCCACCCACTGGTTCACTTCTCAAAGGCCTGAAGTGCTTGCACTGGGCCAGGCTGAGGTCTGGAGACAGGAACTCTATCCAGGACTCCCAGGTGGGTGGCAGGGCTGCAAGCATTTGGCCGCCATCTGCTGCTGCTATGCCAGCGTTGCAAGGGTTGGCTTAGTCAGCTGCACCACGCTGACCCCTGTTTCGGGTGCGTGGGTGTGTGCTTTCATGCACTGATTCATTCATTCCTTCTACAGAGCCCACCATTCTGCTAAGCAAAATGGAGGGCGTTCTTGGTATATTGACACCATAGGTCTGCTTTACAGGGCTTTGCGCTGATTTATTTTGAAAGCATCAACACATTTTAGCCTTCGTGAGTAGTCAGCCTCTGGGTTTAAGTTCTTGGGGATTTTTTTCTTTTTCGTTATTGCAATAATCTTCCAATTTCCAAAAGTTATTAAATTTTAAGCCTATGCATGTTTTTGTAGATTTAGTTTATTGCCAGTTTTGATTGTTCACTAATAGCATGCATAATTTTTGAAGGAACTGTGGTGATGGGATTTCAACTTTTTTCAGTTTTAACATTTTAATGATGTGTCTCCTTCCTTATTTGTGACTTCTTTGCAAATATTGTGTTAGTATAATTAACATGTTAAGTAGTTTCTGAATTTCATAATGGAGATGAGTATTTGAAATCAGATTTATGTTAATAAAAAATGACCTATACTACCAACCAAGACATTACTTGAATTAATATGCTTTTTTTTCTCTCTCTCTTTCTATCAACTTTGGGCTCAATTCTTTCCTTTTTTCTCTCGGTTTCTCCTAACTGTTTATTTGAAAGTCAGAATTACCCAGGGATGGGCTGGGAGAGATTAGGAAGGGACAGAGGGAAGGGGAGAGAGCTTGCCAGAGAGGTAATTTTCATCCGCTGATTCATTCCCAGATGGTTGCAGTGGCTGGGACTGGGCCCGGCCAAAGCCCAGAACTTCTGGGTCTCCTACATGGGAGCAGGAGCCCAAGCACTTGGGTCATCTTCTGCAGCTTTCCCAGGTGCATTAGCCGGGAGCTGCGTCTGAACTGTAACTATCTGGTCTCCTGAGGGTTGCTGCGGTTGAGGGCGGAGGCCTAACCCATTATACCACAAGGCCATGCCCCAGCCCAGCCATCTTCTATGTCTCATTTTTGGAGAAGACATTGTCATGGGCAGCCAGGTCTCCTTGTTCCTCCTCAGAAAGCCGCATGCAATCCCTGTCTGTGTTAGTGAATGCTTAGCCCTGTCCGCATCAGAGATGCCTTTATCGGAAGTGCCTGATGACCAGATCCTGATGGACAGTCCATGTAGGACGTGCATTCCCAGCCACATGGGCTTCCGCATAGAGAACAGACAGAGCAGGACAAGGACCTGAGCCGAGCTTGGGGTTCTGAGGTCGTTGGATGCCAGAAGAGAACGCTGTTGGGGTTTTCCTTCTGAGCCCACAGGCCACTGCTATGGGTGTTCCATGTCCTGTGTTTGGGTCAGCTATGTGCACTGTGTAACAGCTGTCCCTTCTTCGGGTTTTGGGGGCATGTTTGGTGAAACTGCCTGAGAACTTTCCAACTCTCCAAGCTCAGATTGGCCCAGCAGCGTCCTTGACCCTTGTACCAACAGCCCTATTTGTCAACTGTGATACGGGGAAAAGATGGTTAATTAGCCTGGCGCTGGTTAGCATTCTTTAGCCCTAAGACAGATCCACTGCTCTGCTGGTCTCTCTTCCTTCAAGAGCGAATTTATTATCTGTTTAATAAAGATAAAAAGCAAGTCTTATTGTCCCTTGTCTTTATCATTGTTTTGCCACAATAAAAATGAAACTGAGGCTTGTTTCCAAAAGGGTTCCCTCTGGGCAGTTCTAATCAGAAACACATAAATTGATCTGATGGAAAATATGAATACCGACCCCCCAGCTCCTGACTGTGGAAGACGTCTGGCCCCTTTTCTTCGTCTCACTGAGTGTGCATGTGGTTATCACAGACGAACGTAAGGAAACTCATTTTGTATCCATTGATAAGCTAGACTTTTTTGTTATCAACAGGTTTGGCAAACATCGAAAAGATGACAAGATTGAGAAAACGGGTAGAGTAAAAATGCAGGACTCGTTTACGTCAGAAGAGGAGAGGACACGGATGAAGCAGGAACGGGAGAGGTAGACTTCCGGTCATTTCATTCCACCTCGGTTGAGAGGCTCTTTGTTTGATTTTATTAATATAAAGAATTGGCGCTCAATGACTTTTCATATTTTCTCTGTCAATCCAAACACTGAGGCTTGTGGTATGAACACGATGTTAAGAAAGATTAAAAAAAAAAAAAAAAACTTATCTTTATTTGAGCATCAAAGTGAATTTTATTGGTTAGTTAAGATCTCGGAGATGTCAGATGACTGGGTAAACAGTAATTCAGAATTTATGATTCCTTTTCAAGTCACAGAAATATTTAAACTCCTGTGTAGTTTGTGTGTTGGTGTCATTTTTTTTTTTTTTTTAAGAATGCTCTTCTGGAAATCTGACTCTTCTGAACTTTCACATCTCATTTAGAATGAATCTGTTTACAGCCAGAGCTCAGAAGACTGCTGGTCCCCACTGGGCTGTGCCCTGCTCGCACATAACGCCTGCTTGCCCATCAACGCAAGGCCCCCCTTCCACTGCCTGTGCTGGCTTGGGGGGCGAGGGGGGGGCGCTTTACTGCTTAGTTTTCTTCTGTGTCTTCCAGGAAGATTGTGGTCTCTTGCTGACTCATTCTGAGTACTTTGGGAAGCCACTGAAGAACTAGTTCTGTTTATTTGAAATGGCAGAGTAATAGAAAAAGAGAGAACAGAGAGAGATCTTCCGTCCTTCGCTTCACTCCAAAGGGCTTGGCCAGGCTTGGTACCTAACTCTCAATCCGTGCCTTTGACATGGGTGTCAGGGAACATGCACCCGAAGCATCCCTGCTGCCTGCCCGGATGGCTGTGAGCAGGAAACAGGATCCAAGGTGGTGCAGCCAGGCACTCTTATCTGGGATGCAGGTTTCCTGGTCAGTGGCTTGACGTGCTGTGCCACAGTGGCTGCCCTGAGCACCGTTCTTGGAAGTATGTCCTTGATATTCCCAGGGTGAGAAAGAGTCTCTGAGTATTCACACACTATGTAGCTAGAGGCTCTGTGAGGTCCTGGTCAGTTCCCAGCGGCTGCCCCAGGAGCCAGCTCTGTCTTTCTGGGATATGCATGAATTAATTTCTGGTGCTGCGTTCAAGGTTATAAAGCTAAACATATTCCATAGCTGGGGTAGTATCCCAGTATTTTTGACCCCCAATCCATTGCCCTTTGGGTAGCCTGAGAGGTAGGGTGCTGTTTGTCTTAACAGTGAATGAAAAAACTAAAATTAGGATCCCATAATTAAGTTGTGAAAAGAGAAGCATATGTGAATATTTTTGTTTTCATCTGAGGTCTGGGCAAGGTCTCCCCCGTGGGTAGGAGGGGCCCAAGCACTTGGGCCTTCATCTGCAGTCTTGTCAGGCATGTTAATAGGGAGCTGAATTAAAAGTGGAGCAGCTGGGTCTTGAACTTGTAGCAGACGGGATGTCGGCATCAAAGGTGGCAGATTAACCCCATGCGCCTCAACGCCAGGCCTTCTCATTCATCTTTCTAATCCTTCTGAAATATTTTGAGTAAAATGGTTCACTTTGATCCTTTCAGAATATGAACTATAGAGGTAAGGACAGTGTGGAGCTGTAGGTTACCATACAAGTCTGCTTGGGATGTTCTGCTGGTCCTAACACAGTCTCTGGTAAAAATGAGAATTCCTAGGAACTGGTGTGGGTGGAGTTCTCTCTGATCCTCCCCAGTGCTGGGTTCCCCAGCTCAGTAATTCGCTGCCCACATTTAGGTCAGGCTGTGCTGTCTTCCTTGGCGTGGACAGCATTACGTTTAATTGCTCAGAAGTCTTAACTTCCTGCTTGAAGAGTTTCCTCTTCCTGCAAGAAGAGAGTGTACCTGGTGAGTGTGCAAACATGGATTCGTCTGCATGCACATGATTGAGATTGTGGTGCCACCCTCAGTGGGAGAAAAGGAAGTGTGTTTTTTTTTTTTTAAACATACTTTTTGAATGTTGAGAATGTATGTATTTGGGATCGGCTGTTGTGGCACAGAGCAGTAAACCACTTTCTGCGATGTCAGAATCGCGGGGTGAGCGCCAGTTCAAGTCCTGCTGCTCTGATCCGGCTTTGTACTAGCACATCTGGGAAAGCAACCGCCGACGTCCTGAGTGTTGGGTGTCTGCCACCCACATGGGAGGCCCTGATGCGGTTCTAGGCTCCTGGCTTTGGCCTGGCCTAGGTCTTGCTGCCATTTGGAGAGTGAACCAGCAAATGGAGGATTCCTCTGCGTGTGTGTGTGTGTGTGTGTGTGTGTGTGTGTGTGTGTGTGTGTGTGTTGCTCTCTCTTTTAAGTTGTGCTTGAAGTAAATGAATACATTTTAACAAAGAAACATTTTATTTGGGAAAGAAAAAGAGTTTGCATTCTTTGGTTCACTCACCAAATGCCAGCCTTGGTTGGGCCTGGTTAATGCCAAGAGCAAGACACTCTCTCAGGTCTCTCAGGGACATTGCAGAGACCCGCGACCTCCCAGCATGTGTATTAGGAGGAAGGTGGCAGCAAGAACCAGTGCCTGGAGAACCCAGGCACTCAAAGCATGGATGCGGACTGTTCCCTGTGGCCCCTGATGCCTGCCCTGATTCTCATGTTCACGCCTCGGGATGGCTGCAGCAATCTCACACCCTTGCCCTCCTTCCGCATATCACTGCTTTGCACCTGCAGGCAAGTGCTGTGATCCTGGGTGCACTTCTGCCAGTGTTCTATCAAGCATTTCTCTGATGCACAGTGAGATAGCCCCAGCTCAGGGATGATGTTTCACGTAATGGGTCCGTGTGTATCCTTCCTTTTCCCAAGGCACAGTTTGCATCTCAGTTCTGGTGCCTGTCACAGTGCCACACCTCTGGGGACCGGGCTGGCTCTAAGAGATTGGCGACGAACAGCAGCCCAAGGAGAGTAGTCTAGCAAGGTCAAGGACCTAATGGCTGCTTCGCTTGCAGAAAAATGAGTTAGGCCCATAACTTCAGAAAATTGTTAGACTTCCTGTTTTCGTCACAGCTTTTACAAGTGTGTTGCATTTAAACGCATGGATTTGGCAATGAGCAAAGGAGTACAGGAAGCGTTTGGAGCTGTGGAAGGTGAGCTGTTGGGTGCGCTTTCTTCCTGTAGGGTTCCCCAGTCTGTCACCGTAGACAGCTCCTTTTGAGAAACAAAAAGTGAAGCTTCCTTAGAAAAAACTGTCCGTCCATTCCCTCTCTGCAGCCTGGGAAGGCTGTTTGCTGTGACTTCATTGACCACCATCGCCATTTGAGTTCCAGAAATTATTTTGGCTGATTCCATATAAAAATAGAAAGCCTGACATTCCTTGGTCATGAGTTACGGCATGTCCCAAACCCCAAATATTTCTCTGCCTATCCACGTCTATGGAGCCTGAACGTTACTCATGATATAAATGTTGAAAGAACCATGAGTGTAATTTGAAATGTTTTTCCTGCCATGTCAAGATTTATTTTGTCGGTGAAAGTAAACTGGATCTGTCTGAGATTAAATTGGGCTTCGTCCTTGGCCAACTTCTCTGCTTGTGTCCCACCCACTGCCCAGACTGGGAGGCAAGGCCAGGTTGGGGAAATCCTAATTGTGAGAATCTGTTGGGCTCCTCATGGCAGTGGGAGGATCCCTGGGTGAAGGGGACAGGCCCTGACATGCCTTGTTGTCACTGCATTTGTGGCCCTCACACTGGACCCTTCAGAGGCATGGGTGGGCACAGCCTGCGGACTCAGCAGAGCTGTGCTTTCCTGCATTTGGTGCTTGCCGTCTCTGACACACTTGCCTTTCCCTGTGCTTTAGGACAACACCTGTCCCAAACCGCGTGCGAGCAGTGAAATGAGCTTGGCAGCTCCTTCTGTCGGCTTTAATTTTAGAAAAGGGAAGGAAGGAAGGAAAGAAGCAAGATTTATATACTTGAAATGCAGAGTTAGACAATGATGAAGAGATCTCCCATTGCCCAGATCACTGGCTTAGGCCAGGATGAAGCCAGCAGCCGTCAGCTCCAGGCAGGCCTCCCACGGGGGTGCAGGGGTGCAAGTATTTCATCAGTTTCGTGGCGTTAGCAGGGAGCTGGGTCAGAAGCAGAGCACCTGGAGTTCCAATCCATGATCTTCTATGGGATCTCATGTCATAGGAGGCAGCTTAACCTGATGAGCCCGAAGCACGCCTTTGGATTCTATTGTGAAGGAGGTGGGGCAGCTTTTCGTTGACACAACACCATTTTTTAAACAAGCAACATTTTAGCTTATGCCCCAGTGTTTGTTTGTTTTGCTTGTTTGTTTGTTTCTTTCTTTTTTCAAGATTTTAAAAATTTGAATGACCGATTTACAGAAAGAGAAGGATAGAGAAGATCTTCATTTTCCAAATGGCTGCAATGCTAGAATTGAGCTGATCTGAAGCTGGCAACCAGGAGCTTCTTCTGGGTCTCTCATGTGGGTACAGGGTCCCAAGAACTTGAGCCATCCTCCATTCATTTTTTTAGGCTATAAGCGGGGCGCTGGATCGGAAGTGGAGTAGCCAGGACACAAAACAATTCCCATGTAGAATGCTGGATTAGCCTGTTGAGCCACCGATCCGCTCCCAGGCCAGTGTTTAACTGATGGTAGGCAGTGTGGTGGACGCTTTCCCAAGCAGTGTTCCGTAGCATAACAAGGGTCCCAAATACAACAGGTTGTCCAACCCATTCCTGTGTCTTTATGACGTGGGAGTGGAGAATCCAATGAGATTCTGACTTGTTAACAGGGCACCCTCTGCGCGCGCTCCTCACATCCCTCAGGATTCAGTTATTGTAGAAATTCTGAAGCAGGGCAAGCCCTTGTATAGCTGGCTGGAGACACAGGTCTGGGGCAGCTTTAAAGCAGGGGCTGTGCCCTGCCTCTGCTCTGGGACTTCCGTTTGGAACTCTGGGAATTCTACCCCCAATCCATCTCTGTTTTTCCATTTCCCTTCTCCACATTTTGCACTTGCATTAAGAAACAGATTTAAAAAAAAAAAGATTTGTTTTTATTGGAAAGGCAGATATGGATAGATCTTG